TCCGAGGACGATCCTATATATTTGAGATCTAACAATTCCTATATATTCCTATATATTTTTGAAGGGCTGCTGCGAACCCAGGTAATAACGAAGAATATATTATTTAATAATGATAATCCAACAAAACCTTTTCCTGCTTTTCATAACTATTCACTGGTTAATATAGTAAAAATTCTGTTTGATATAGGATATTGAAATTTCACAAAATACTGAATTTATTGTCGGGTATATTTATTTAAAATAATACAATTCGAAATAGATAGTCATAGAATGAGACTATTGAAGGAAGTGGATAACTGAACAGAATGGCATCTTTGTTCAATTATGATTGATTTTAATTTGACGTTCGACTTGATTTCAATAAGATCAAATTATGAAAGTTGAAAAAAATATTTCGTATACTTTGGAACTCGCAAAAAAAAACAACTTTTGACGATCACAATTTGCAGTATATCGAATTTTTTACTGATCTTTTCAGTTTAAATGAACGAATTAAGGATTATGTTTATCGTTTACTTGATTATTTTCATCTCTCTCTCATTCTTTCTATGATATAATTGTAATCACTAAAAAATATGGTGCACATTATTTGATGTATAAGTAGGTACTTACATCCATCTGAAATAGTAATTCGGTGTTCTAGCGAATCTATTCAATAAATGGAAATGAGCGAATGTGTGTCAATTTTCCAGATAGCCGATATGTGAGTGACCTTTCCCCACGATAGTCGACCGAAGGAATAAAAACAACCAATGATGTTTCTCGGCTTGTTTCTTCAGTAAAAAAGAAAGAAAAAAAAATGGAGAAAAATGCGTATCGGTCGAATGGAAAAAAAATTCTGGAAATGGACAACGAATAGTATAGGAAGGCGATAAGGTTATATTGATCAGCTGTTTATTTTTATATTTTAATCTTGTCGTGTATTTTTGTCAATAGTCACTAGACAAAAAAAAATAGTGTAATATTTTTTTTTTTCTTGATTAATTCTAATCAGAGGTGATCGTTGATTGTCAGTATAAAAAAAACAACACTCAATTATTGATCGAATACTGAAAAAACGGTAATCCTACACGATGTGTACTGATCGAATAATTGACATATATTAAATGATACAGGTAAGTAACACAACTGTGGATAAGTTCGGTGCATATTGTATAGAACTATCGAATATACTGATCTTCGCTACCAGAGCTGTGCAACTCAACTCAAAAATGGCGCTATGTATCACGTCAGTTGAGTTAGCCAACTATCTGTTCGTTATTCATGTAACAATTTTTGATGGGTTATTTATTAATCGTATTTCACTCGACAGAGAAAAGCCGTCATAAATCAATAAAATATAATAAGAAACAAAATCAAATTGATTTATTGGCAGTCGATGTTATCACGATAAACTAGACGTTATTCGAGTTTCACTCGACTACAAAATGCGGTGCGAAACTCAAATCGAACCTATGATAAAATTGAAAAGACAAAGGGAATAAACGAACAATCGAGCTTACGATTGTTCAGAAATCTATATTGTCGTCACAAATTTCACCTAGTCTTGAAATTGACTTCTTTTTCTGTCTTGAAGAAATTCAAAAACGCTTTCAATGAGCAATTTATCGAGAGTTCAAATATTTTCAAAGTAGACATAGTGAAATTCATCACTGTGAAATCTCTATCCATGACTAGCGACACGTTCCTCAAGAATGATTTCGATTGAACATTCAATTATCTCTATGATTCATTGCAGCTGTGAAAAAAACAGACTACTGACGTCAATGATAAAACCAATTATTCTTAGAATATTTTTATTTTTACAGGAAATGAAATTTATTTAAAAAGTAAATTTGTTTACGAGATTAATCGTTAGATAACACTACATTGGTTTATGTTAGAAAAAGAAAATAGCAACATTTATTTGGATAATATTATTTTGTTTTATCGTTATTCCAATAGTTTTAGATTTATAGTTGTCTTAATTGTTTAATATCCATATATGTTAAAAGAAATTTTCTTTTTAAAACCACTTATCGATAACCAATTACTGAAATATTATAAGTAATTTTTATAGTTTCAGATATTTTATTTTCTTTAAATAATATATTATTCTTCTAATATTCGATTGTTAAAAAATTTAATATTAATTGAACTTGATTTATTTTGTTTTTCATAGAATTATAAATACCAATGACTGAAATGTTTTACAAACAAATATGTTAATATCGAATTAATGAAAATATGTTTTTCATAGATTATTTTTTTTTATTATAATTCATCCTGATATTTCATTCTAAAATTCTCATGATTAGTACAATAAACGAAAATGTTTTATTTTATTTTATCCTATAGTTTTTGTGTTAACTGGAGTTGATTATAATCTTAAATAAGTTTTGAATAAATTTGTTAAGCTAAAAAAACATTTTTTTTTATTTGAAAAGTGAATATTGAAATGAATATCTATAAATGTATGTTTTCGTTTAAACTTACAGAAATTATTGATACACGTTGTCATTTATTGTTGTTATGAATAGAATCATTATTTAAATGTGAAACAAACTAAAAATTGAATGACAATATTTGTTTAACTAATTCAATTGAAATAAGATACTCATCTTTTTGTGTACTCAAAAAGTGAGTACACTCTAGAATCGGTCAGTGCGTCCGGCCGGCCGGCAGTCCGACCGTCCGTTTACATGATAACTTTTGAAAGGAGAATCAGATCGCGATGAAATTTTCTTCGTAGTTCAGTCTTAACAATATCTCGATCGAGTTCGAAGATGAGAAGGATTGGCCGAGCCCTTCCTAAGTTATTGCAAAAATACTCATTTTTCCCTATACCTTCCCTATGGAAAGATCGACCCTTTCCCGCTTTCGTAAAGAACTTTTCCTATCATAGTCAACTAAAACCCCAACTATTATATACCATTCGATAGAGAATTTCAAAAGCTACAAAATCGTATATAAAACATCAAGAAACAAGAAGACTAACTCACCTATTGGCAAGATAAATAAGCGGGAATCGATTTGGTTTTTGTGCACACTCCAATCGATCCCCAATAGGAACTCTATCTTCCTATCATTGAGGTGATAATCGAAGGTTTTCTAGTATGGAAAACTCGAATCTGTACTCCATTTGCCTCGAAGACCCATTGGTTGAGCATTGACCAGTAGAAATCAAGTTATAGAAAAAACGAATTTCTGAGGCTAAGTTAAGCCGAGGAGTTCAAATCCGAGCTGTATACGCTCCTAAGTCCTATTGATTAAGCAGTAGCCAATGGAAACCAAGGGTTTATAGAAAAGGTTTGCCAGGAAAATTTTTATATCCATAGATTCTAGGATGACCGATTTGTCTCATTCACTTTTTGAAGTGCACATACTCTCGGATATAAATCCGAGATTTCCGCATTTATTTTGTCTACTAAAAAAGTTCATACACTCTAGAATCGGCCAGTGTGTCCGGCCGGCCGTCTG